GTTGTATGTATGCTCTTCATCCTGATGACTCGAATCAGAGCTTTCTTTTGTTGAGTGCTCGTCTTCTACAACACCTGAATAGCCAATAATATCATTAGGATAGCATGAGTCAATCCTCCGAGTCGCATGAAGTCATACCGTTTTCGTCATTCGCATCACTAATGTTCTTTCTTGAAGCAGTACTAGAGCATTCAACCAGTCGGCGACGTGCTTGAGGAGTGCTCACTGAGATCACTTCTAGAGAGGAATTGGTTCAGAAACAGTATGAAGCAAAAAATGCCAAAAAGAAAAGAAATTCCGGCAACATTCACATACCTATGGAATCGGTCTCTTGACTGGTAGAGATATCTACTTCCTCAAGATGAAGACGACGTGAAGACGGTCGCCATGGTGATTCTGACACCCTTGGAGTTCGTGGACTTGCTTTACCAGCGGGTTCTTCAACAAAAACTTCATGAGAATGTGCAACTAAAAAAGTTTGGAAAAGCAAGATGCAACCTATGCATGGTAAGAGTGAATAGAAGAGTCGAGGCAATGGTTCCCATTTGAAAATAAAAATAAAATGACCCGCTTCTGAACTCACTAGAAGGAGCTGTTGCATCTCGAAGTGGTGAATCATCCGCTCCTACAACGAATGGTAACGAATTGTCTAGAAGTTCCGAGACTCGAACCGTTTTTGATGGGGTGATTTGCACGCTTCCATCATGGCCAAAAGGAATTATAGTCTGCGCTCTGCTAAAATGGTGAAAAATGTAAAACGGTGAAAGCTGGAATACATAAAGACGCAACACTCTTGCAACACTTACCTGACCATGCTTCCAGCGGCTTGACCTGCACTTTGGTCAGAGCTGAAGGCAGACGATGACACATCTTCCTGGTGTTGCAGTGAACGCCTCAGGAATTTGTTGTAAGCCACCAAGATCAGACATGGATAGGTAATCGAGGGATGGCACATCCGTAGCATTATCACGCAACTGAGAGGCAGTCATCAGCTTTGAAATACGCATTCAGAGGAACGACGATTACCTCTTTAGTTAAAACCGGCAACTCCGTGACCCGAATTGAAGTTTGCACGTCGATCTCCTTACATATAGTGGCAGCTTGGGCTGGATTTGCTTGAAAATATCGCATCAGTTGTAATTCATTTGATTTGAAAATGCTCCAGTACAATACCAACCTAACGGTACAGAAGGAATGAACTTAAACTGCACAGTTGACATCGTGGCAGATGTTGCGATAATATCGCGTAACTGCTCCACGAAAGACTTCTCCCTATTGGCATTTCGAAGGCTGATCAAAGCGATGATCGTTGATCAGAGAGCACACTGAAACCATACGGGCGAGGCTGAAGCGAGTTCCTGAAAGCCGCAGTAGAAAAGCCCAGTAAGATTGTTCCACTAAGTACTGGTTGTAAGTACGCTTTGCCAAAAACGTTACTCCCAAAAAAAAACTAAAAAAAAAAAAAAAAAAAAACGTGATAAAAAAAAAAAAGTCGTTTATTCCAGCTGATACTATCAGGTAACTCAGTGGGCTGTTTTCCAGTACTGCGCTCGCTAGGCTATGCACATTCAGAAAAAAGAAAACTTAGCATCCGTTATACCTTTTTGTTTTGCCAGAGTTGTCACGTGAATATGGTTTCTTAACATACGTAAGAACTTTGAAATACAGTCTTGAGATAGCGTATTATGAGTATTTTTTAGGCTAATATTAAACTTCGCAACTTTAGCGACTAGGACCAGCGATTTGGGCAGATCACGTGACAAAATCGTGACGGGCATAAACAGAACAAAAAGTGTAAATGTAAACATACGGCTTCACGATGAGGTGTAGCGCGGTGAATTTGCTGAATCTTGGGACTATGTGGGATTTCTTCGAATGCAACGTGAGCACTTAGACTGTAATACGCCACAGTTATCACTGAATATGCGACAACTCATAGGAACAAAAAACTTACGGGCTAGCGTTTTCAGGAGAATGTCTGTCGTTACGCACTTCTGATATATCAAGCTTCGGTACATCAAACGTAACATTTCCGCCTTTAAATCGGCTACTCGCTGATTTTGGTGTGATGTACTGATCTTCTGCGTCTTCTGAGATGTGAAGCTAATTCGGACAGAAATTCAAGTCATTTACTTCTTACGCAATGATAACTTTATTGAAAGGGGATAAAAGCCCTTTAAATGGGAACTCACCATCCGTCCCCTCGCGATATCCATGCTTTTCAAGTATGGCAATGACAGTCTCTCTTCCTAATCCTGTATTCAACATTATCTCTTCGACGATATGGTCATCGGAGCATGCATTGCGAAGTGACTCCTAAATGATCGGGAACTATGAGTTACGCTGCAGAGCAATTCGTCTAAGTGATACGATTTGCAATTGAAATGGATTTCGCAATCATCTCCATTTACCAACCTTAAGTTCCAAACGCAAAAGAAGAAGCTGTCTGGCACAAATTTTCGATGTGTCATCTGCCTGCGATCTGAAATTTTCTGTATAAAACACGAGTCGTAATACCCCTGACCAGTAGATCGATAGGTAACAACAGTAACAATGTCAAACTCTTATCATCTATAAACAATCCACAGAGGAAATTAAGGCGCGCTCCATCTGGGAAAAAGTAAAATTACGCTCGATAAAGTCGAATGTCCACTAGAAGTCAGTGTTTGGAAAAATGCCATATTCCGGCACCTCTCACGGACCATGGCGAAACATGGTCGTTTGGGTATGTACTATGTGTACAGAATATATGACTTGAAATGAGGGCTTGTCGAAGAGTCTGCTCTGTGGGTGGGGTATAATAGCCCACGAATATCACAGATGCGCCGTTGTTGCGGCTAGAAAGTGCCGACGGTGCTAGACTTACAAAGTGATCTAATGGCGATATGTGAACTTACAGACGAGATACCTCGCGCTCGCACTCACGCAACGTGGACTAAACATAGCTGTAAGGTAACCGATAGGTAGATAGACATGGCAGCCTTAT